CGGCTAGGATTCTCGACGACTACAAGCCGCCTTGCGGGATGCATCTTGGTTTGAGGTTACTGGGCTTTGGCGTCGTAGGCAGGGGTTAGGGCTTTGGGGGTTTAGGGTTTAGGGTTTTGGGGGGTTGAGGGTTTAAGGTTTCGGGTGCAGCTTTTGCTTAGGTTTTGGGACTCAGGTTTATAGGGCTCTGTTTAGGGGCTTGAGCTTAGGAATATCGAATGTAGGGGCTCCTTATTAGGATTGTAGTATAATGGGCCCCAAACTTTATTCTATTTATTAAGGCCCCTATATTACGGTTTTGGATTGATGGTTTTGCCAGGGTTGCAGGCGTTAGGTGCAGGGCTCAAGCTCGAGGGTGAAGTAGTTTCGGTGCACAGCGGTTGTAATGGCGGTGTGTTGATATCGTAGCGATTTTGTATATAGACTCCATAAGAGGACATCCCATGTATGTAACCCTAACCGTCCATGTACCCAAACAGTACATACTTTGGCCTAAACCCTAAACCCGAAACCCTAAACCGGAAACCCTAAACCCTAAACCCGAAACCCTAAACCCTAAACACGAAACCCGAAACCCTAAACCCAAAACCCTGAACCCGAAACTCTAAGACCCGAAACCCTAACACCTAAACCAGGAACCCTAAACCCTAAGACCCGAAACCCTAAACTGAGGACTTTATGGTGACGCACAACTGGGGCAACAAGTTCTGCCACTTGATCGCCGCCATCCTCTCAGAAGCCATAGGCCGGTTGGGGGGGGTTCAGGGTTCCTTTATAGGGGTTTAGGGTTTGGGGTTTAGTGTTTTTGGTTTAGGGTTTTGGGTTTAGGTTTAGGGTTTGGAGTTTTGGGTTTTGGGTTTTGGGTCTTGGGTTTTGGGTTTGGTTTAGGGTTTAGGGCTTACGGTTTAGGGCTTTGGTTCAGGGTTTAGGGTACAGGGGATCTGGGGGCTTCCTGGGGATCCCAAAACCTACTGTTGTAGGGGGTGTGCCCTGTAATTAAGGGGTCATCACCTACTATCTTGTAGGGTTTGGGGCTACACCCTAAACCCTAAACCCTAAACCCTAAACCCTAAACCCTAAACCCTAAACCCTAAACCCTAAATCCCAAACCCGGGTTGCGGTTGAAGCCCTAGCCCCGGAAACTGGCTTGCTTGGTCAGAAGAAGATCCCGAAGCGGTTTAGGGTTTACGGGTTTAGGGCTTAGGGGTTTTAGGGGCTTTAGGGGTTTTATGGGTTTTAGGGGTGTTAGGGGTGTTAGGGGTTTTAGGGGTTTCAGGGGTTTTAGGGGTTTTAGGGGTTTTAGGGGTTTTAGGGGTTTTAGGGGTTTAGGGTTTAGGGGTTTTAGTGGTTTAGGGGTTTAGGGGTGGTGAGTCCTAACCCTCGACGTAGCTGAGCCCTATGAACCATAAACCCGACACCGTGAATAATTGCGAGTTGTCGGGTTCAGGGTCCTTTACAGGACGCCTGAGGCACATAGGATTGCACGCCTACCGGATTCTAAACAGGCAGCCGAACTCTATCGCTACCGGTCCCAATGCCTCTAGAGGGGCCTCTAAGGCTTAAGGCGGACTGCGACTGCTTAATTCAGTGTGTAAGAATTGTGGATCAGGGGAACCGTCGACACAGTTGCTGAGGGCACTGTCACGGGCAAGGGTGGTGGGACGGCGTCATGCACTCCGTGCACAAGGAGCTGAAGCACAGCGGCTGCCAATGGCCCGACCTGGAAGACGAGTGAGGGCCAGCCTGCAAAGCCGTTGTGGAGTTTGTGATCCACTAGAAACCTTGACATACCCGGCGGGTCGTGAAGTTCATGGGCGGTCTCCACAAGTTCCTGCCAGTTCCTTTCTTAGGCAGCCGTTTCCACGGATTCCACGGTTTGACCCTGGACAGCCCGGATATCGAATTTCGGTGCGTGCCATGGCGCGCCGCAGTGCACGTGGGAAGCGTCGCTTCCCGCTGCCAGCCCAGCCACGGTGCCACCAGACTATCCGATTGCTAAACCCTAAACCCTAAAACCCTAAACCCTAAAACCCTGGGGCAGATCTCACGGTTTCCGGTGGTTCCTGCATTCAGGCTGCCTGGTGCTGGGAGCTTTCTCTCTTAGCCATGGGTCTTGGCACTCCATTCGAATTTTCGGCGGCCGGATGCTCAATCCTAAGCCTTGAAACCTGTGTAGGGTTTAGGGGTTTAGGGTTTAGGGTTTAGGGTTTAGGGTTCTGAACATCACTGAGCCAACCCTGAACCCCTAATGTAGAGGCCTTAGTAATTAGAATAGGGCTTGGGGGTATATTTATCAGGAACCCCCAAAACCCTATTCTGATTTTTGTAGGCCCCTACATTGGTCCATGTACCTAGTGTTTACATCGTCCCCAAGAAGTTTTAGGGTAGCTGTAGAAAGAAGCCCCTTCAAGGCCAAAATGCAAACGCCTACAAGGCGACTTGGGAACACTACACAGCAGACCCCAAACCCAAAGCAGCCAGCCGGCCGAAATGACAGACATCCTCAGCTAAAACCTAAACCCTAAGCCCTAAACCCCTAAACCACTTGGCATCCTAAGAGTTCGTCAGGCGAGAAGCATTACGAGACCACAGCTACACAGCTGGCGCATAATCGGACATCTGTCCTCTACACAGAGGCCCTCTCCGTGGTTCGCGCTGTATACTGTACAGGGTTTACGGCGCAAGGCTAAACTCGAAACCCCAAGCCCGAAACCGAACATGGAGTTGGGATGGCTCGTGCTGGGATTTACTGTGGCTACAACACTGTGGAAGATCAAAGCGTAGTCGGTTTTGGGGAATAAGAGTTTTCATGAGGATCATGAGGAAACCTTAGAAATATCATTGGTCATCGGCTGTTCCACCTCCACAGTAGAATCACAGTGGCTCGGGGTACGTAGAATCACAATCATATCCTACTTACTGCCTTCCCCTGGTCTTACCAAACAACCCTAGTGCGGTTAGGTTTGCGGCTGCAGTGTTCTTTGGTTCTTGAGAGCTTGATGTGCAGCCGCAGGGTTTGTGGGACAGATTGGGTTCGGTTGTGAGCGTTTCAGAAAACAGGTGACCCCGAAACCGCGTTTTTGGAGCCGTTCCCAAAGCCCATCCAAGCCCTAAACTCCCGAAGTAGTCTATGGCTCGGGCGTTGAGAAGTGTGGGTTTCAGGCAGCTCGGGCATTTGCAGGTTCAGGGTTTAGGGTATCGGGTTGCGCATTTGCAGCCTTCCACACGTGTGTCGGAACGAAGGCAGATCAGTCATCCGAACGTCATGGGAGGTTTCAGAGGTGCCACAGAGGGATCCGACAAGGTGGGGTATAGTCACTATTCCTTCTCCCTAAGGGTCCAAAGGACCTAATAATCATGTACTTGGGTTACGGATAGTAGTTTTGTAGGTTAGTTTGGTACTTGCACCCTCAGGGTTTTGCCATCGCAATCAAAGCTGCTCTCTGAGATGTATGGCAACACCGGACATGCCCGCGGCTGGACCACTCTTCATGGATGACTCCCTCATGTGGTCACGGTCGGCTGACCCTAAACCCTAGACCCCTAAACCCAGCCCTAAACCCTAAACCGCTACACCCCTTCAGCCCCAAGCCCTAAACCCTAAACCACAAAACCCCTAAACCCCCTCATGACCGAGTTCACGAAGCGGGGGGTGCAAGTTGACCCGACCAGAACGGAGTACGACGCGTTCCTTTACGTGTCTACCATCACAGGTTACGATGAGGGTTTAGGGTTTAGGGGATTCACTACCAGATTCTTTTCGGCTGTCTCCACTATGAAGGTTCTTCCTGCATGAGCACATGGACCTTTAGGGTAAGGGTCTAAGCGGTGGTAATTACCTTTCGCGAAGCGGTGGGTCCCGGTTGGTGTCGAACTCACCTTTAAGAAACCCCGGGCCAGCAAAGCTACCAGTCGTATAGGCTTAGGCGCGCCAAGAACCCTTCGTACATAAGATATGTTTTGGCAGTTTTTGGGTTTTGGTGCCGTACGCAAATCCTAGCTTGTAACCGGAAAGCATTCCTGCAAAGGCAGATAGACTTCAGCGGCGCTACTGGGTGTGTTGCTTTTGTGGCTCGGCGAAACTGGAGCTTTCGGGTTTGGGTTGGCGGCTTGGGGTTTAGTTGTTTGCGGTGTGGGGGCTGGGTCTGGAGTTCGGTTTAGGGCTTGGTCATTCAGGGCTTCTGGGTTCGCGACATCGTTAGTGAGAGTTTGTCTGGGTTTTTCTGGTTTTACAGTTTCAACCCCGAGCGCTTCTGTTGACGACCTGAAGATCTTAAAGCCCTAAACCACAAGTTTAGGGTTTAGGTTTCAAGGGTATGAAGTTTCGCGGCTCAGGGTGGTACCTACTTGTCTATAGAACAGATCCTAGCCATAAAATACTAGGTACCCTAAAAAACAGGGGTCGGGTACGGTATGTCCTTCTAGGTAGGAAGAAGGAGTTTGAGTTTCGAGTCTGAAGCCACCCAAGCTCCAGCTTCTAGGGCCCCTAAACCCTAAAACCCCTAAGCCCTAGAACACGAAAGCCCCAAACCCCTAAACCCCCTAGGTGCAATGTTTGACGTCTAGGTGGTGGGGGCAACTCCAAAAGCCTTAACACCCCCAAGGCCTTCCAAAATCCCTGAAGTAAGGAAGCTATCCTAAATTATAGTATGTAGGATCCCTATCACGCTTTAATGATTCAGGGTTAGGGTTTAGTGGTCTATGTATCCCTAAGGTTCCATGTACCCAAATAGTAGAACATTGGCCCTAAAGTACCCATCTAGGGACTACATTAAGGCCAATGTTCTACTATTTGGGTACATGGACCCTTAGGGTATTCCTGAGCTTGAGGGATTTGAGAAAGTCGGCGTAAATCCCCCAAACTCCTAGAGCCCTCAACCCCAAACCCGTAACCCTTAATCATAGAGTAATAGGCTTTAGGGTTTGAGGTTTAGGGTTGAAGGATGTGGTTGAACACAACTACATACGCTTGCCACAAAATCCGCGCCACCCGGGCGTACCATACCCTAAACCCTAAACCCCTATACCCTAAACCCCTAAACCCTATCATACTGTTGATGGACAAAATCCTGCATGACTTTATATACCTAAACTATGGGGTTTATGGTACTAAACTATATTTGGGTCATGCAGAATTTT